AGGAAAGCCAATAAAATGGCATACATGTTTGAGGTTTGAATGATCTACTGATCTATGTAATAGGATATCAGAAAGTCTATCATCAATAGAGGACAATCAATGATGGTATGTTATACATATGTTTTTGCAAATATAAATTGTGACTTTGTTAATTATGAATAAGAATGAAGTTATCCTTTATGGATACTTAATATAGATGAAATTAGACATTTAAATGTAGTACATATAATACAATATACATCATTACTTTAAATTCAGAAAAAGAAATAAAATTGTCTCGTTTGCTTTATCAGATACACAGACACACTGATGAAATTGAGACATGAACTTTCATCATTCATTCAACCTTCTAAATTGGGTATGAGTACATAACCATAAACACTTCACAAAAATTGTTTCACTTTTTCAGTATATGATACATAAACTGTGTACACAAAAATAAACTAGGGTTAACAGAAATATTTACAAAAAAACATTACATACTTAACATAATACTTGAGCTTTACATGATAGAGGAAGAACAATGTACTGAATATGCTGTCTAGTTACATGCAATTATGTGCATACAGAAGGTGTAAAAGTATGTTGACACACTGTGGTGGCTAGAAATAAATATAAAATGTCTTTTTAACAGCATATCTATAGCTTGTTCTTTTACAGTTACATTTACTTACTCATGGAGCTGAGCCCTTCTTGAGGAGAAGCCAAATCTGCAGCTACTCAAGAATTTCCCAGCCTTTTATGGAACCCGAAGGTTCATCACCATGTTCACAAGAGCCCTCCACTGGTCCCTATCCTGAGCCAGATCTATCCAATCCATACCATCCCATCCTGTCCCTCTAAGATCCATTCTAACATTGTCCACTCACCTACGCGTTGGTCTTCCCTGTGGTCTCTTTCCTTCTGGCTTTCCCACCAATATCCTATACGCATTCCTCATCTCCCCCATTCGTGCTACATGACCTGCCCATCTCATCCTCCTTGACTTGATCATTCTAATTATACTTGGAGAAGAGTACAAGTTATGAAGCTCCTCATTATGCAGTTTCCTCCAACCTCCTGTGATTTCATCTCTCTTTGTTCCAAATATTCTCCTCAACACCCTGTTCTCAAACACCCTCAGTCCTTTTACAGTTACATAGATTGCATTTTCTTTTCAGGGAAGATAACTGGAAGGACTGCTTTAATTTCTGTCTCTTCCGAAGAGGAGTCTTATGTAAAAGAAGGAATGGAATTCTGGAATGTTTAACAGGAATCTCATTACATAGGCAAGTTTTCGCAAACCCATTTTCAGAAATATATGGTCTTATGGATGTAATGTTGTGTAGCCTGGGGACAGCCTGGTACGTCATAGGAACATGTCTCCTACATCTTCAAGGCTAAATAGGAAGCTACACAACAAACAGAGGAAGACAAAAAGTTGACCATAGCTTTCTCTTCGATCTTGAAGATGGAGGTGGTATTTTCTTCCAAAATGTTAGGCTTGCTCAGACCACACGATGTTATAATCAGAGGACAATACTAATCAGTCACTGTGCTATGAGAATGTCAAATCCAACCTGTTAGCAACAGAAGTTTCATGACCCTTACTTTACAAGCTCGTTTAAATACCGAGCTACAAAAGAATCGGTAACCATGTTGGTTTGCATTTACTTTTCCTTTGAGGTTCTATTTATTTATTTCTTCATGGGAGTCAGGATAGCTTAGTCAATATAGTGACAGGCTATGAGCTGGTCAGCCAAGGTATAATTCCTGGGAGTGAAATATTTTTATTCAGTGTCCAGACTGTCCACCCTCCTATCCAATGGGCACCGGGGGGCTCATTCCATGGGCATAAAGTGGCAAGTGCGTGACACTGATCACTCACCTCCATTTAGTGCCAAGGTCAAGAATTGTAGAGCTGTACCTCAATTCCCCCCATATGTCTTCATGGCATAGGTGCTTAACTAATTAAGCACAGGGGAAATTTTCTTTTCTATTTACCTTTTTATTTATTTATTGGTTTTGTTTGCAAGTTCTTTCTTTTGTTAACAGTAGTTTTAATATCAGGTTGCCATTCAACTAATGTCATTCAAATATAGTATCAAGACACTCAAGTAAAGATCTTTAAATGAAACAAGTTATAAGTCTTCAGCAAACTGAAATTCTGGGTTATGATCAACAATACATATTCACCATACACATTATAACATAAGTTAAGAAAACTATCTTTTTCTCTCAGTTGAATATGTATCAAGGTTCAAATCCAGACAGTACATAAAAGCTTTAAAGTTTTACAGTTCTTAGGATATGTGTTTTGAGATGTAATCAGGAACCTTTTATTAAAAAGTGCTTACAAATCTATGATCTAAAATTAAAAATCTATAATTTGTACATTAGATTGAGGAGTAATTGAATTTATTATGTAATCTTCCCGCTTAGGACCAGTTCTTGGTTTAGGTTTTCGGTTTGAAGTCAGCTGAGATGGTAAAGCTAAGAAGGATGGAAATAATAGGTTAGTTGGAAAAGGATACAATGTCTGAAGTGAAGATTTTTTTCCTTTTGTAACTAATAGATTCAATTACTTCATGGGTAATAAGTAGGGCCCGGATTTCTATGACATGTCATATTTTTTTCCTATGGTTTATTCCTATTTTTAAATGTAATTATGCATGTTTCCAGTCATTCTTATTGAAATTATGTCGTTTTTATTGTGCATATAAATGCATATTTTAGAGTTTTATTGGTTTAACAGCATATTTTGCCATAATTTTGAAATAAGGTCATATTTTTGTCATTTTAGAAACAATTCTTTGATATAATGTAAAATTTCGGCTCCATAATGTTTAGTATTACAAAATAAATTTCAGGCTGGACTGTTGCTTCAATGTGGAATAGAGTTCAAGTACATGAAGTTCGTATTAAAAACCATATTTTTGACTGGACTGTACTTGCAGTTACAAAGGCGAAAATTTGTGAAATGCAGCATTTATGACCTGGCAAGCCAGCCTTTCCCAGTCGAGGCAGGAGGGAGGCAAGTGTAACGGGTATTCTCCTATTGTACTCCGTCTTACTATAAGGAATATACATCCCAGTCTTTCTTGGAGGGCTTAGAAGTATTCTATTTATATATGTGGAGGGCGTTATAAGACTTCAGTTTGACTTTACAATGCCTAAAGTGAGTACATGTAGTTCACGGAGCGCAAAGTTGCGTAGTTTTGTACAGGAGTTTGGTGAAAAGGTGTTTAGTACCGATGGCAAGATATTTTATTGTAAGTTGTGTGGCGTGAAAGTTACGGCAGAAAAGCGATTTACTGTGCAGCAGCATTGTAAAACTTTTAAACATGGTAAATGTTTAAGCAGATTATCTACAAAGGATAGCAGACAAAGTTTGTTGTTTAAAAACAGTTCCACTAATTCTTCTTCTTCTTCTTCTTCTCCTTCACCTTCTTCAACGAACAATGGGTCGGAATTTTCGAAGGATTTGTGTCAGTGGATGGTATCTTCGAATATTCCATTAGAGAAATTGCATAATCAGCACTTCAGACAATTTTTGGAGACATACACTAGTCATCCTATCCCAAGTGAATCGACGTTAAGAAAGAATTATCTCTCTACATGTTATGAAGATATGTTAAATAAGATTCGAACATCTGTTGCTGACAACAAGATATGGGTTTCCTTGGACGAGACTTCTGACGTAGATGGGCGGTATATTGCGAATGTTATAGTTGGGACCCTGAAACAAGATCAACCTGGAGAGAGATTTCTTCTTGACTGTGAAGTTCTCGAAAGAGCAAATCATTCGACTATAGCTGTCCTATTTGATAATTCCATGAAGTTGTTGTGGCCAAATGGAATACAGCGAAATAATGTCCTTCTCCTAGTAACAGATGCCGCTCCATACATGAAGAAGGCTGCCAAAGGACTTCGAATCCTCTACCCGAAAATGGTCCATATTACTTGCCTCGCTCATGCATTGCATAGAGTGGCTGAAGAAGTTCGAGGACATTTTCCTGATGTAGATAGGCTAGTTTCAAACGGAAAGAAAATATTCATCAAGGCCCCTCTTCGAGTGCAGAAATTTAAACAAGAAGCTCCTCTACTGCCACTTCCTCCACAGCCTGTCGTCACACGGTGGGGTACATGGTTGGATGCTGTGGCATATTATTGTGAAAATTACACAGCCATTGAGAAAATGTTTAATGGCTTTGACAGCAGTGAGTCAACATCAATTAAAGCTGTCAAGGACTTATTCTCTACCACTCTAGCACAAAATCTGGCATACATAAAGTCAAACTTCTGTTCAATTTCAGGTGCAATAACTCGCCTGGAATTTGTAGGGACTGAACTCTGTGACGCGTTGGACACTGTAAAGAGCATTGAGAATGAACTAAACCGAACTCGTGGTGAAATAAGTGACAGGATTAAAACCAAAATAGAAAGTGTTCTTCATCGGAATGCTGGTTATTCAACATTATGCAAGATTGCAGATATACTTTCCGGTAAACTAGCAACATTCGAAGATGATACAGAACTGTCACCAAACGACTTGACATTCTTCAAATATGCTCCTGTCACATCATGTGATGTGGAACGAAGTTTTTCCAAATACAAAACTATCCTTAGTGATAATCGGTGATCTTTCAAATTTGAAAATTTGAAAATGCATGTAGTTATAAATTGCAATTGTAACAGTGAAAATTGAGACGTGAATAGCTTGTGTTCTTTTAAATGGTGTTTTTAGATAACAGAGTTAAGTTAGTGTTCATACCATGTGCACCAGTGTTTGTCTAAAATATGAACGCAAATATCAGTATTAAAAAGAAAACAATGAATGGTTTAATCCAGTACGAAATGTCGAAATTCCATCAGTTTTCTTTCCTTCAGAGACATAATAGGGCTAATTTGGTAAGTAGGACCTACCATCATGTATTCATCATCTTTATTCTTAAACTCTAGTAAAAGTTGTAATTAAAATTGTGAAATTTTATGTCCCATTTAATATTTAAGGTCATATTTGACATAATTTTGGGTCATAAGTGCATGCATATATTTATAGTTTTTAGGTCATAAAAATCCGGGCCCTAGTAATAAGAGTAATCAATAAATAACAGTTTACAAGGAAGTTGAATGTAGTCAACCATTATCTTTTTATCCACCCTTTGAACATGAAACACAGTTTTGCTTTTTCCAGTGGTTACTGCACAGCTTCTTTGAAATGTGTTGTATTCTAACCCAGTGTAGTATCTCTGATAGTAATACACTGGAACTTCATAAACATAGGAAAAATTCTAATTATGTCCAAATTTTTTTTTCTCTATTTGAGTTTAAAGTTTTTGTGCCTAATTGTGGAATTCACTGCAGGTGCGCTTGAAAAATGTAGGTTCTGTAATGTGGGACAGTGCAGTCTGTTAATGATCTACAGAGTACATAGCATCACATCATAGATGGCAGTAATCTTCGCCTCTTTCAATCATTCTATGTAACTTTATACACTTGTTTCCATCTTCAATGAAACTTTGTTCGTTTACAATGACTCCTTAATTTAATAAAATTACAGTTAAAACTGCCTCATATTTTGGCCTTAGTTGGCCATCTTCAGGCAACTGTTCATTTGTTGAAACTGCTACACTACATTACTTCTGAAGTTAAAACATTCCAATGTTATTGCATTTTGTCATTCCCATTAAAATATATTTGCTTGAGAATGTCACCTTTATCTTTTCTTGTGCAACCTTCTTGTGGCATCAGTCTATTGTTTCATTTTGTTTAGCCCTGTGAATATCAGTGAGTGAGTGTGGTGGTGGTGGTGATGGTGGTATTTTTATGTGCACCATTAGTATGTGTGTTCCCACTCAGTTGCTTTAGTCCATTTGCTTCAGTCAAGTGTGTGTCGCTTTATTGTTGTCCACACTGATATTCATATGGCTAAACAAAAGACGAAGACAGGCGCAAGAAGAGATAAAGTGTGATGTTCTCAAGCAAATGTTTTAAATGTGAATGATAAAAATGCAATAATGGAATATTTTAACTTAAGACCTAATGTATTGCAGTAGTTTCAACAAATGAACAGCTTCCTGTGGATGGCCAAGTAAGGCTGAAACATGTAGCGGTTTAATTGTAATTTTAATATCATTATTTCAAATTAAGGATAAATTGTAAACAAAGGTACATTAAAGACAAGTGTATAAAGTGATACATCAATGCAACAGGATGCTGAAATACAATTTAATTCATATATAGTCTGACACAAACACTCTCTGGAGATCTGGAACACTGCCATGCCTGCAAAGATCTCCATTGTCCAAATACGACACTCCAGCGCAAGTCAGAGCTGTGGTAAGTGATTCAACAGAAAGAACTGGCACAGGAAGCTGCTTCTGTCTGTGGATTCTTCTCATAGGTGGTGTTTGTTGAGCCAAACGTCTTGCAGGAGTTTGCCCTACGATGTGACGGTTTCCTGGTATCTGTTTATGGAAACGTCTGCTGTTGACATCTTTGTAGCTTAAGTCAGTGACTGTACATTCGCTAGATCTGCTTTCTGCATCAAGGTCAAGCCGATACAAACTTAGCACAGATTCACTCTTCACTGGAAGTTCAAAAATCACCTGTAAATACCAGCATCATCCAAGTATATCATCCTTCCAAATGTAGAAAATGTAAAATATCCACAATTAAATCTGAAAGTATTTGGTGGTTTTGGGTCTATTATGTTTAAAAATGTCCATGTAAAAAATGTAAATACAAAATGAAATTGTTATTTGCTTGAAAAAGTTAAACAGTTCTGTTCATTGTGACTGGTTAAGATTTTCTTATTTCAATTACTGAATAATTGAAATAAGAAAACCTGTTTAACTTTTTCATAATATTAGTGTGATGGACCAGGATGAAACAAATCAAATGTTATTTGCTTTCTTACAGCATTTGAAATAGTGTGAAATGTCACTTTGAAAATAGAATTGTGAAGTACAGAACTGCCATTCACATGCCCACCTTTGTCTGCCTATCCATTTGAATATATTAAATATGAGATCTGCTATAAAAATTCAGAATTTTGTTTGCTAAAATGGTTTCTCATTTCACCTAATGTTAATTAATGAATGCATATGCTGATGAATACGCTTTCCACCTTTTTCTATTTTGTGACAATGATGAAAACTATTGGTTTTCCAACTGTGGAGGAGTCTTGCATAAAATCTGCAAGAAACAGTGATGCCTTTAAGAAGAGCTGCATTGCTTCTTCCTGCAACGAAGTGTGAAATTGAAGTGTTTGGTGCAAAATGGGAGTGCTTCCTTGTTGAGAAACTTTATGAAAATGCCAAAAACATATATAAACACTTGTCTATTTAGACATCAGGGTGTGATACCACCTGTAACATTGGCTGTGTAACTGGTCATTTGAGTCTCGCCTTTCTTTATGTTGGGGCATGTTTATGTATGGGAAAGGAAATAAAACTTCAGAACTGGATCCAAACATATTTTTACACTGGCCCCTTGAATTGTTACATAATTTTGAAATATATTTCAAAATTCACTCGCCTCTAATTTTTTGCTCACATAGTTGATGTGCATCTGTAATGAACATGGACTTTTGGCACTGTTTTCAAAGAAGGTAAAGAAATGTATGTGATAAATTACACCTGTAAATGAAAGTTATTTATTTAAGAGCAGAAAGAAATGCAATTAAAATTTAATCATACTAAAGAAAGGCCAAAAATGAACAGATTATACTAATACAGACTCTGTTCAACAAGTTATATTTTCTTGGAGGCTGCATTTGATTATTCAGACAAAAATATTATATTAGTTTTTCATAATTTTTAATTTTTTTTTTTAAATTTGGGTTTCATTGAAATTTTATTGACAATGGTACCAACGTTCTGTTATTCTGACAAATAAAGGTAAATATTAAATAAGTACATGTAGTATGCAAGAAACAAGGTAGAGTTAATAGTCTGCATTAATTCTGTCATTTTAGTGTACTTTAAGTGCAGCTTACCTGGAAAATGAAAATATTTTTGCTAAATAAGACTATGAACTAAGTTTTAGACTGACTAGGTTATATAAAAGAGAATGATTCCTGTGTAAACAAAGAGACAGAAGTCTTCAATAGAAAATTGGGTAAACTGGTGAAGCCTTTCATACAGCTTTGATAAAGCTAGATTAAAATAGAGAACTATTTACAAAACATGGCCTACACATGAACGACAAAGGGAAAGAATTGGTTGCCAAGAAGATAATGTCTACTATACAGCAGATGCTACATAAAAAAATAGAAGAATCAATCAGCATGACCTGGAAAGAAGATAAAGTAGAAAAATCAAAAGAGAAACACAACAACCAGATATATGGAAAAGACAGAATCAGCCCAGAGTTGAATCAAGATGCAGTCAACCCCGTTTTATCAAGAAGACTTTGGAAACCATCCTCTACAAGAAAGGACAAGGTTGGACTAAGTGCAGCACCAGACACAACAGCTGCTACAAATAAGCCAGGAGGAAGTACATCACCAGAAGACATCACCATGTCCAGAAAATTCAGTAACTTCTACACCATGTGGGGAAGTTACAGAAGACACAGTCCATGAAGAGGCTACTCAACTAGAATACAAAGAAGATACTATCCATGAGGAGGCTGCAGAAACCCAAGGGAACAAAACAGAGAAAACTTCAGCAGACCCACCCCTTAACTGTGCGGTGCTATTTGAAAGAGATCAACAGCAGGAAGTTCGTATGTCAACAAGACAAAGGAGGCCCCCAGTAAAGCTAAGTAAAGATTTTTTATAGATAAGCATAGTGCTGGTATCCTCAAGAATAATAATAATATAGTCAATGGAAACATTCAGATATTCCATCAAAACGTGCAAAGTATAAATAATAAAAAGCTACATATGGATGTGCTACTAACAGATAAAGCACTAGAGTTGGACGTACTATGTATCACTGAACATTGGTTACAGGACCAAGAAATAGGTTATTATAATTTTGAAAACTATTCCCTTATATCAAAATTCTGTAGGAAAAATAAGCAGCATGGAGGCTCATGTATCTATGTCAAAACAAATCTAGTATAATCTAGTAGGCTATATATAATATATAATATATATATATATAATATAGGCTAGTATAATCAAACTTATCCAGTTTAATACAATTATTATCTGTGTATACAGAACTCCAAACAGTAATATTAATATATTTATTGAAACCATAGACACAATAATTAGTAATTTAATAAAGGGAAGAGCATCATTATTATAGGTGATCTCAACACAGATTTCCTAGGAAGAAGAGTAAATCTACAACTACAGACAATGTTAAACTCATATGGCTTGCAAGCAATAGTTTGTCCCAACAGGAATAGGACTTAGAAGTCAAACAACATTAGATCAAATAATATTGAACAAGGGGTTATGAGAATACAATCTTAAGGTGACTGAAAGAGGATTTTCTGACCATAAAGCATAGACACTACAAATACAGATGCAGTATAAGAATAAAAAGGGGCAAGTTACACTAAAGGAAGAATTCGGAATGGCTAGATCTTACAGGGAAGAGAATGTACAAACCTAAACTGTTTACTAGAAAAAGAGACTTGAGAGCTTGTTTTTAAGCAAAATTCAGCGAACGAGGCATACAATGAATTTTTAGGTACTTTACAGTATTATTATGATATAGCTATGCCTAAAAAGAGGGTAAAAACTAAACAGCAGGAAAATAGATGGGTTACCTCAGGAATAATAGTATCAGGGAACAGACTCAGGTTTCTTAATAGTCTAATGAAAGAAGGAAATTTAAGAATTTAAAGAATACTATTGTCATTACAAAAAATATACAACTAAGTTATCAGTGAAGCAAAAAAATTAACTAACATGAGAATAAGAGCATCAGGGAACAAATAAAAAGCCATGTTAAGTTAAGCTAGTTAAGGAGGAACTAGGTAAACAGAAAAAAGCAAGAAAGAATATTGAAATAAGTCAGAATGGAGTAAATATACAAGATCCAAAAGCTACAGCCAATGTCTTTAATGAATACTATACCAGTATTGCCCAAAAGTATTGAGTGGCAATCCATTATCCAAAACCAATGAAGTTAATGTCAATACAGTAAAATATAATAGTAACAGCACGTTCTTAACCCCAACTACTGAAGAGGAAGTGGCAGGCATAATTAAAGGATTGAGTAATAAAAAATCAACAGGAATAGACGATATTCCAGAGTATATTATCAAAAAATGTTATCCTAAATTAACAACTGCTTTGACACACACAATAAATCTGTCACTCTCAACTGGACATTTTCCTGATCAGCTAAAAATTGCAAAAGTGAAACCTTTGTACAAAAAAGGATGTGATACAGAAGTTTGGAATTATAGATCAGTTTCACTAATTTCTGTTTTTTTTTAAATAATAGAAAAAATCTTACATAAAAGACTTTTATCATTTTTTAATAATCACAGCATAATTAACAAAAAACAGCATGGTTTCTGTAAAGGGAAATCAACAAATACTGCAACTGCAGAGTTTATAGAAAGGGTCTACAAATCATTGAATGAGAGGGAAATAAGCATAGGAATATTTCTGGATCTATCAAAGGCATCTGACTTAGTTGATCATGATATACAGGGTGGGCCAGACTCAATTAGGCAGTTTTTGATCATTAATAACTAACCACTCCAACAACACACGGGATAATGGGAAAGTACCTTTTGTTGTGGATAGATGGCAGCATCATACGGTACGCTGTGAACGAGGTCAATACTCTGCCTACTTAGTGCGCATCGAGGAAATGTCATGGCTGGTAGACGGTTGTCTATCGAGCAGCATGTAAAATGTGTGTGCCTTTTCTCAGTTACTAACAATGTATCAGAAGTCCAGCGCAGGATGTTGGAAGAGTTTGGACCGCCAGCAGTCCACAGGGACACAATCATCCGAATAAACAAGTAGTTTGATGAAACTGCCAGTGCTTTGAATCCCAAGCATCCTGGTCAGCCAAGAACTGTCCGAACTGCTGACACACAAGCACGTGTTGCTGCGGAACTGGCATCATCTCCTCAGAAATCGAAGTCTACCCGCCGTTTGTCAGCTCTACTGGACATTTGGAGGACAAGTTTGCGGAGAGAGTTGAGTGACATGAAGCTGACGCCATACCATCCACGCCTTATTNCATTGCTAAGGAAGATGACAAGAATGGGAATAAGAGCGGTTGCACTAAAATGGTTTCAATCATATCTAGAAAACAAGGAACAAAAAGTGGAAATTACATACAGATGTAAAGAAACTAATGAAATCACTATCTATCGCAAAAGAGACCCATAAGACATGGAGTCTCACAAGGTTCTGTTCTCAGACCGTGTTGTTTTTGCTATATACAATGATCTAGAAGCCAGCATTGAACATGGAAGACCAACTTTTTCGCCGACGATTCTAGTATTCTTATAACAGGAAATAGCGCTAATGATGCCCAAAGGAAAATAAATAAAACAATAAATGCACTCGCAGAGTGGTTTGAAAGGAATAGATTAATTATTAATAAGGAAAAAACAACATCAATATCCTTTCATCAACCTCAAAAAGTAAAAGTTGAATGCCCATCAATAAAGCTCTATGATAGTCATCAATTATATAGAACATACAAAATTTTTGGGAGTTTGGTTGGATAAGAATCTAACGTGGACTGCACATACTCGACAAGTAGCAAATAAATTATGTAAAATATGTTTTGCCTTATGAGTAGTCAAAAGAGTATCAGGGTTAGAAATTGTTCGCACCTTATATTATGCTTATTTTCAATCCTTGTTATTATAGGGATTAATATTTTGGGGTAATTCAGGAAATGCAAAATTGATCTTTAGGTTGCAGAAGAGAGCTATTAGAGCTATGATACAAATCCCAAAAACCATTAGTTGTAAACAATATTTTAAATTGTTACATACGAGTATATTACCTTTACCATGTCTGTATCTATATGAAATTCTAGTTTACATAAAAACCAATTTGAATGTTTTCATAACCAATTCAGGAATACACTCGCACACTACAAGGAGAAAAGATGACTTGTTCAAAGTGCCATGTAATACGAGTCTATACGAAAACAATTTCAATAATATTGGACTTCATATGTTAAATCATTTGCCACAATATATTAAAATTAAAATATATTAAAATATATATTTTTCTTACAAGAACGAGATCAAGGATACCAGGGTATTTTGTGCCGGGATAGGAGGATTAGGTCTTGAGGCGTACAGCAGTGTCGTGTGTTAAATGATTATATTAGTTCTGTTATTAGAATCATCATTGTATTATCTTAGTATATTATTATTATTATTATTATTATTATTATTGTAAAGTGTTTAACTTGTCCTATATCATGTATAATGATCCATGGATATGAAGTGAATAAATAAATAAATAAATTTTTCCCATCATTCTTTGTGGTTAGTCCTAATTATATAAGAATGTTTTCCTTTGCATTCAAATATTTCACTCTTACTCTCTATGAACAAAATTCATTGTTGGAAATAGCTGTAACTAAGTCAGAATCATTCCTTTTTTCTTTTTGTGTTTACTATGTGTACATAAGTAGCCAAGGACTCCTAAGACAGTTTAGGTTTGTGATCAATTTTTTTATAAAACACTATTAGTATGTCCCCCTCAGACTAGCTTTTGTGTAACACTTGCAAAAAATTTCAGACCATGGTTCACAAAAACAATTAATACTGCAAAAGTGACGTAAGGGGTCTTACCTCTCTTTCATCAGAAGAATTAGGATCATTCTGAGGCCGATTTCTCATCTTTGAATTCGAACTTTTTCTGATGTTTCTTTTCTGGACAACTAAATCACCCTCATCCTCTTCTAATAATAGTTCATCCAGATTGTTCAAAGACAGTGAACCTGCCAGCATGTTTTGTTTAACCCTCTTTTTCCTAGTCATGTTGGCGACCTGTAACTTGAGATTCTCACACTTTCTCGGGGGGGAAATAATTTCTTTCTGATCCTCAGCCTCCAAATATGGCTCACAGCTGGACTGGATATTCTTGCTATTTGTGTTGGAACCATACTGATGGCGGCAAGAATTATCTTTGCTCTTGGACTCAGTACCACCAATATTTGAGCCAGTATTATCATTGGTGCCTTTCTTGAAGGCATTACTTGTGCTATTCTTCAGTTCATTTTGGATGACAGCTCTCAAAATTTCACTTGCATTCTGAATAATAGTTTTAGAGTGTGTTATATTTTTTCCCTTACTTGTTTCATTACTGTGGTAAGATAATTCCATATTATCATTTTGATTCTGGGAAGACCCTATCAGTGGTAGTACAAGTTTTAAAACTTCATTATTTTGATTGACAGTCCAATCTGTGCACTGACATTCCTGATGCACAGAGTCTCCTGTTCCCACCATCTCTCTTTGGTACCTGCTGAGCAAAGACTGGCCAGAATTTTCTTCCTCAGACTGTGATCCACATAAAAAAAGCTTTTCAGGCATTTGTAGCATGGTGCTTTTTTCTGTGTCATTACTTACATGTGTGGAAAATTTCTCTTCATGTTGAAAGAATTCAAAATCATCATTGGCAGCAGTGGTTGCAGAGCAGCAGCTGCGTGATGACAGGGTTGCATAGATAGGTTCATCATCGTCATCATCAACATTATACTCATTAAGGCCTTCAGAATTCAAATAGTCTTCGCAATCTGATGACGGTTCCTCAGAGTTCAAATTTCCTATTCCAAAATCCGTCAGAACACTCCCAGTTTCATTCTGTTGTCTGGAATTATGTGTTATTGGGTTAGTAGCTTTCTTTTCAATAGTATCCCTTCCAGTTTGCAAGTAGACCTGAAAATCACAAGATTTTTCTGAAAAAATTTGTGGTAGTTTACAAGTCTCATCACTGGTTCGTTCTTTGAAGAGATCTGAATGTTGATTTTCTATGGCTGCTTTATTGAGACTGATAAGTCTCTGAAGTAATTCATGTCTTCTTGTCTGAGCAACTGGCAGTCCCATACTGATGATCTGAGAAGGAACAGCTCCATTTGTTCTCATACCTGAAATTATACATGTGTTCATTATCACCTTGAAAGTAAATTACAAAATAATATTTAAAGTTGCAGAAGGTGAAACACATTTTTTTTTATTCCTGTTGCACAATAACAGATGATCATATAAATTTATCTCCCGGTTTGGAAAATGATGCAAAGGGGATTTAGGATTTGTATTTGCAGATGTGTATTGCAATGTGGTATTGACAGAGAACAGCTTAGTAACATGTAATAGAAATAGTATTTAAAGGTGTGTCAAAATATATTTACAAGAGCTTGTATCTTTGAATTTCCCTATTTGAATATTTTAAGAGTCAACTGACAGTAAATGTGATTGCACATCGACATATTAAGTCAAGGTGGGGCAACATTCACACAAGTATAAGCAAACAAATGTGGCATCCAGCTCATGTTGTGGGTAGATACAATATTAGTCCCACTTCTATGTGGGTGTGTAGGATTTAGCAGATGAGTGACTCTCTTCTTTTGTATGGCAGAGGTCATTGCCTGTCATAGGTAAACACACATTTATGGATCTCTGCATGGGTTTATGTCCATATCCTACAATTTGATCTTGTAAGTAATGACATTCCATATATTTATAGAGTTGAAGAGCATTACAGTGGAATATTTCACATACACAAAATGTTGATTTTGTGATTGGAAAGTAGCCTATGTCATTTCAGGAAGATAAAAAGAATTACATTTTTTTTTCTTGAAACTATGCACTCTAGGAAGAGTATGCTAACGCCTTTTGAGTCTCAGACAAGAATTTTCAATCTGTTTTTAACCATCTACAGCTCAAATTATTTTACAATTCTCAGGTTTGTCAAACTGGAGACCTCTACAAAAGAATGGGATGTGTGAAAAGAAATTGCTTCAAGTTCTATCCATATCATTAATTTCAACTTACTTAGATTTATCATGCATATCTCTAACTTGAACCAAACTGATTTACACCTTCAAGAATTTGGTATGAAAATTGTGGGATGAGTAATGACACATGTTTTCTAATTCAATATTAAGATGGAGACCTCATGGGCTTAGTAAGTTGTAAGAGAATCAGTATCTTTTAATGAGAAATTACATAAATAACCTTGAAATCTTATAAAAATGCAACTTTTTCCATCACAGAGATACAACATAGCTGTTGGGCTCAAAACGGTTTTCATTTTTGTGAGAGTTCTCATAGCAGTGAGCATTAAGATTAGTGTTCTTAAAACTGATGCGTGTTGTTTGTTATATAGATAATAAGAATTTGAAGGAAACTGTTGCCTCCATCTTCTGGGTGGAAGATTAAGGCAGCAGGTTCCTCTGAACCAAAATACAGATACCATATGACAGAAAACAATAATCGTAAGTTTCTTTCCCTTTGCGACACCTCAAATTGTAGTTCATGTTTGTGGGGAAAAGTTGATTTAGCATCAAGTGATGTGAGAGAATGATTATGACCGGTGATGAAATGGGAATGTAGAAGGAGTGATTATGGCATATTCTAGCATTTGTTATTTGGACTGAGGAAAACCATGAAGATCTTGAGGTTAAGCAATTCACTGGCTGAGATTCAAACTAGGAACTGGTACTGGGCTTTAGCAGGTACCGTTAGTTGACACATATTGGTAATTAATTCAGCAATGTTATTGGGTATATTAAGTTTTTCATTATTTTATTCTCCTGTGTTCAAGACTGACTGTAATTGAGTAAATACTTAATATCAGAAAACAGCTTCAAAAAGTCTGGGAAATATGAATGATTATAAGTACTGATTGGCCTGAAACCCAGTTGTGATATGAATAAAGAGTGAAAAAGGTCATGAAATATATGTAATACACATAATGATCTACATTCACCTCTCCTGTAGTTATGTATTATAGGCAGTCGACCATCAACGCTGGTGAAGAGAGAGCCATTGGTGATTGGGAACTTGACAGGTTCTTGTTGCAAGGTCTGCTGCTGCTGTTGAGACTGCAGCTGATTGGAGCTCTGACTCTCGGTCTGATTCTGAGAGTGTGCATTGAACACTCTGAATTTACCATCCAGTCCTAGAAAAATAACAGAGTTATTTCCTTACATTATATATTCACAGTTGCTGCACATGCTTAGGTGCCTACATTTCAGTTTCAGGGCTTCTTATGTTTACCGTTGGCTGACAGTGTTTATAAGACCTGGTGGGAAGAGAGTTGCATGCAGGATAAAAGCTTCAATGGATGGAGGGAATATGCCACAGTGAAATTCACTGAATTATAAAATGTTTGGTGATCACATAAGTTACAATTGCATGTAACACTGCTCTTGTCAGATGCATCACGTTATATCATGCGTGGCAATGAATTAAAGCAAAGAACTTACTAGAGTCTACTTGAATCAGAAGAAGATATGATGGAAAAGGAATAGGAAGGGATGAGGTAAGAGGAGCAGGAAAAATAAATAAAACTGCCCCTGTAACAAGCTGTGGAGGCCCATAAAGTTGTGATACGTTGAGGCTCCCACATTTTCTGCACAATAGGCTCACAGATGGCAGTAAGGTTATCAGCCTTACACACCAGCCATCCTTTAACCCCAGGAAGATTCCTGGTACTCATTTCTGTTAGAGGCTGAGTCGATCCGAGGGCCATAGTGTGGCAGGAAGGATTAGGTCAACTGAAAATTCCAGTGATAATGGGAATCAAACTCATGACTTTCCAACCTGTGGCATACTGCCTTAAGGAACTACATTACCACAGGAGTAACAGCAAACTGGAGAAGACTGTAATGAGTTTTACAGCTGGTACTAGTGTGTCAGATTACTTATGCATCTCATTTTGTGGCTGTGTAACTGACCACTGAAACAAGCCAGCACAGGCTGTAATAGAATTTTAGTACCTTTCATATGGTTTGCCTCTTATCCAGCATTTAATTGGACTCTGAGCAAATAAGTTTTTATTTTGGTTCATACCAAAGTGGATATAAATTTGTGACTTTTTAATTTTTGGCCAGTCAAAATGTAAATGTTATCAACCTTGTGTAACTGGGGAGGGGGGAAGTCCTAAAAAGAAAACTGCCAAGACTCTCTGATATGCAGATCCATGTTAAAAAATGGGCATGAATCATGACATTCTCATTATCCATTTACTGGTAACATTTACATTTTTAAGTGCAGAACTGTATGGCAAAGAGCTCATGAAAATTGCTCAGTCAAATAGGCTGACATTTCCATCTTGGAATGGTAGAAAAGCTTTGGGTTTTTATATTTTCGTTGTATGTAAAACCTTTAATGAAAATTACTTTTAAAATTTCTTTTTAAAGTTGTGTTAGCCAATTTAATTTGTCCACGGAACCATTTTACAATATAATGTTCATGGAATCCTTAATAAAACGCTTACATGAAGCTATAAACTATACTGGAAATAAGTAAGGAGGATAAGTAAATGGTAAAGAAGCGCATGATATCAACATATTATTTAATTGTGTATATTTAGAAAACAATCACATTTCATATATACTAGAACTGAAGCCTAAAAATTAGTATGCCACATATTTATAATTTATCCTCTCTTTTTTGTACTTTAATGGAATTTGCTTGCAGAACCCTTATTTTCATTCAGTGGAATACTATTTAGAAAACATTGCTCTAAAAATGTTTGTAAACACAATACTCAATTATTTAAGTAACATTATATTTTTAAGGGAATCATTAACAGGAAAAGAGCTGTTATTAATTGCCTATGTTTGAATTCACCATCTGTAAAAGAAACGCCAGGGTGGTGTCCTCACACTGAAGAAATTACCTGGATACCGACTCGACTAGAACCATGAGTAAAACTAATGTATTTGTATCTCTATACCCACATGTTGCATCATTCAAACAAATTTTGTCTACTTCTTGAAATATGAGAACTAGTGGTTTGTATGCATGATGTGCTTGGTTCTGAGGTATAACTGACATGGAGCACAGGCAAGTACAATAATCCAGCCAGTAATATGAGACATAGCAAGTGAAACTTTAGTCACCAAGTAGTTTCCTGCAAGACTTGAACCATCAACCTATTTACAACATACTACAGCCGCTAGAAGTGAAACTTAATATTGTACACCAAGTAATACATTCCAATTGTCATGATAAGGTTCACACATACCTTGATGCTGTCTGGCCAAATCTGTTAACCTTCTGTCTCTGTAGGTGTAAATATTGGCCACCCATGCTGTAAAGTTCCTGTCACACAAGGAGAGGAGGATAGGCAGGAGACATTCCTCAGCTAGTCCTGCCCACAATACCAGGGCTGGTAATGACCACAGCTGGGGCAGTAGCCAAGGGGCAAACATGCCTACTACAGTGAGACCCTGCAAACACAGTAAGAAGAGTGTTCATGTGGTTCTAGCATATTATGTTACACATTCTCGATAAGGTGGGAGGCACACATTGGTCACACATTTGGACAGATGAGAAATATTGCAAGTCATCTCAATATGTGTCAATCATAAAGGAAAAATCTTCCTGTTAATATTAGTGCTGATGACCTGATCTGAGGCTCTAGAAAAGCCATGTTTCTTTTTCAGTCAGGTTTGTAAAATGTAGCTTCATATTGATATCTAAGTGCTGACAACCTGAAATTTGAGGCAGTATTATTATTAATATTAGTATTAGTGTCCGTCCACAACAACACATTCCATAAGACTGCTATCTACACCTCTGCATTTTCATTGTTAATTTTCTGTCCAGATTTCCTATAAAGAGATCAAAACCTAATTTCTTGCAGATTCAAAGCATTTATATTTTGTTCACAACCATATTTGTGACATGGTCTTGGCACCAATCAGTATATAAACATTGTTTTATATAGTTCGCTTTCGGATTAAAATCACAGAGTTTGTTTGCTTGTTTTTATTTATTTTTGTCCTCTTCTTTTTTCCACATTTCCTCTTAGTGCATCAGGAAAAGTGATTAAAAAATTCAAGGATTTTTATAAAGCGAGTCTTAAGTCCGGAAACTGTGAAATGGACTTTCATCCAAGCAGATGAACAAAATTGCGAAGTCATATATATTATATTTGAAAAAATAAAGATATGATTGATTTCATTTACCTTTATTCTTATTTGACACCGATTTATTGTTACAGTTAATACAGGTATTTTATTTGCTAGGCTGCGACATCATTTCTTAACCTAAGAAACCAAAATATGAATTCTCTAGTCTTAGCTCAGATGATAAGTTGTCACTTCCCTGGAATTATGTAAATCAATGGTTCATAATCGCTGCAACAAAATCCTCCACTGATCCACCTCATTCAGATTCTCATTACTACACATCTGTTTCCATACTACGACTTTCAGTTTAATTTTGAATCCATACCCTGATCTGCTGAATGTACTGTCCTCAGATTTCTTAAACTCAAATCTTGTAAATTTCTCACAGGTGTTTGTATAAAGAGCTCCATTTACATACCATTCGTACAAATAATTAAGATGTTTTAAAACCACCTTGAAATGAAAATAATTTCTACACATAAGATTCTTAATTATGGAGAGCTGTGTATCAGCCATCTCCAAACCTTAGGATTATGGTCTTCTATAGGCAGTTACCTTGTTTTATAGGAATTTTCTGTTCCCATCTTATACTTTGAATATAGAGACAGGAGGTTTATCTAAAGCAGAAACCAACTACAAATGGTCTCAGCCCAAAAAACAATGTAAAATTTCACAACTGTGAAAACCCAAGATTAATTACTTGAATTTTCACAAGAAATTAAGTATATGGAAACTCTAAAGCATTGTAGTCTAACCAATTATAATAGTAGCAACAGAGATTAAAGTATTTTGTTTCAACATCTTAAATCTTATCACAAATTTTAGTTTCTCCATTCCTCACGTATGGATTATATCAGAAATAATTCCTGAATTATAAAAACAAAATTCTATCATGCTTTTAACAGCATGTTTCTGGCAGTCTTACATACTAAAGACTTTCTCCAATTTACTCTCTGACATTCTATCATGAACAGTAATTCTACTAATATATTATGTTGATAAATGACCCTCTTCTTGCAGGAATCATTTCAAGAATCATTTTATAGTTTATTTTGTTACTGAAAATGAGTGGTAAAACTAGTTTGATGAGTTTCTGAACAAGGTTCTTCCTTTCTCTTTAGAGTACAGGTGACTCAACCACTACTTCCCAGATGCAAATGAATAACTATTATGTAAATGTGCAACAAGTTTGACTGTAATTACATGAAACTGTATATTTCAAAACGTATTATTTGGTCTGCATTTGACATTATTTGCGGCCAGTTGAAACAGACTTAAATTTCTAATTTATCTTTATGACTTTCATACCTCTTGAGCATGTGTGTGTTACATAAATATGTGGAAGTTAAGTTTACTGTTACACAGACACTAAAAAATGCGAAATACAGAAATAGTAACAATTTTGTTCATGATTTTTTATTTATGGTACCATCAGATTCAATTAATAAATTTGTTTTCATATGATAAATTTAAATTAGGTGAACATATATATATATATATAGTGAGCATAGATCTGCAATTTAATATGCTAATAAAATTCATTTTTATGGTTATGATGTAAAAGACATAAATATGAATTATATAATGGTATAAAATATTAATTGTGCATTTTATTTAAAATTCTGGCTAGCAGTGCTACCTTTCACAGACATGTGTCAATTTGCTGGTGTGGGTGGGTTTTTNTCAATGTTCTGGAGGGGGTGGGTCTTCATGCTATTTCACCCTTGCTGTTGTGCAGTTCTTATATATGCACACTGAAATCAAATAACATTATGGGTTATATATCACAAAAACCCACCCACACCAGCAAATTGACACATGTCTGTGAAAGGTAGCACTGCTAGCCAGAATTTTAAATAAAATGCACAATTAATATTTTATACCATTGTATAATTCATATTTATGTCTTTTACATCATAACCATAAAAATGAATTTTATTAGCATATTTAATTGCAGATCTATGCTCACTATATAAATTTTATTTGCTGGCAACATAGCCATCAGTTGCAAAAATACGGATCCATATAATAACCATTAATTTTAATTACTTGAGTTACATTCATAAGTGCCTGATAATGACCCAATTATATGGTCTAAACATGTAGCTCAGTTATGTTTACATTAAACACATAAGACATATATCAACATCTATTATCTCTGTTGAAGATATCCCCCATTGTTTGTTGTGTTGGCAGTTGTAATATAAGTAATTAAATTAAATAAGGTACTTTGTGAGTAATGGCAGTTGTAACATAAATAATTAAATTAAATAAGGTACTTTGTGAAATTTTAAAATGTCCAGCAGGAATCTTCTGTTTATGGATAATGTGGGCAATTTTAAAGTGGCAGAGATAAGTATCTGCTACATTTTTGTTTTGTTATGGAGAATATTCTGTTAAGTCCTCTATTACTTTACAAAATTCACTATTGACATAGCATATCACACAGTCACTAAATGATACATGTTTCTTGAACAGGACAACAGTCTGACTCCAGTCATATACAAGTAAAAATCTTTATTTTTCATTCCATACAGTTCCTCAAGAAAATCTCAGTTTTGAGCATTCCCAGTTGTGATGCACTGAGCATTTTCACATCCCACATCATTTATTTGAGCAACTGTTTTCTCTATTTTCAGACGCCTCTTAGTACTTGAGATAGGAGTGATCAGTTATAACAAACACAAGCGTAATTTTAATGAAATTAAATTTCACTAGGCCAGTGACTGAAACTGGGCAAAATCATGATATGAAGATAGTTAACAGATTTTTTAAAATGTGGCACAGTTTAGATATTTGGAAACGACTATAACAAACCAAACCTGATTCAGGAAGATATTCAGAGGAAATTGAATTCGGGTAATGCTTGCTACATTTCAGTCCAGAACTTTTGCCTTCTTGTCTGCTCTCTAAGAACATAAAAATTAGAATATGAAACACCATAATTTTGCCTGTGGTTCTGTATGGGTGTGAAACTTGGTCTCTAACATTAAGGGAGGAACATAGACTGAGGGTGCTTGAGAACACGGTGCTGAGAAGAATATTTGGACTGAAGAGAGATGAAGTGAAGGTAGGCTGGAGAAAACTGCATAATGAGTGGCTTCATAAATTATACTATATTCTAAGTATAATTAGAATGGTCAAGTCAATAAGGATGAGATCGGTGGAACATGTAGCACGAATGGGGAGAAGAGGAATGCGTGTAGGATATTGGGGGAAAAACCAGAAAGAAAGAGACCACTAGGAAGACCAAGATGTAGGTGGGTGGACAATATTAAAATGGATCTTAGAGAGAGAGAGAGAGACAGGATGCTATGGATTGGATTGATCTGGCTCAGGATATGAACCAGTGGAGGGCTCTTGTGAATATTGTAATGAACCTTCATGTTCCATAAAATGCTGGGGAGGTCTTGAGTAGCTGCACAACTGGCTGCTTCTCAAGAAGGGATCAGCTCCATGAGTGTGTGAGTGAGTGACTGAAATTAGCTGTTTCTGACGGACTCAACTGGGTAGGTGTATCTTTTCTCATGAGGACAGAAACAGACCATTTTCTGAAACACTGTGATAGCTGTTTCAAGTTCCAAATGAAGACGGGTTAGGGGACTGAGTTGTGGTGTATATACGTATAATTATGTCTCAAAAATATCAGTTGTCTGTGGACTATGTTCAGCTCTCCACAGTAACCTGAATGAATTCAGGATTTGATGTTCTCACAGCAGTTATTTTGAAGAGTTCTGTCTTTTGGGATGTAACGCTGTATGGTCTGTTGAAAGTCAACTGACATGACAGGTCTGCTTGCTGCCTGTTTCATGCTGGTTTCTTTCATAGTTTGTTCTTCGACCCTGAAGATGAATGCTACTTGTTCCTCCGAAACGTAGGTTGACTTTCAGGGGACAATATGGCTTCATAACTCCGAAGACAGAAGTTTTTCTACATGTAATGCCCTAGCGGCGCAGGGGGGGCAATGGAGGTATCCCTCCCGCTGCTGCCGCCGCTGTAATGCCGTGGTACAGGGGGGG